TATTTACAACTGGACTTGAAAAATAAGTACTCGAGATTTTCTTCAAGACCTTATGCATGAGTTGCCTGGCTTCACCTACTGCACATGATTTAATACACAAAGTATTGTTCATCTGTGAAATTAATTCCCTGCTCACATGCCAGTGTCCTAGAGTAAAATCTCATAGGGTGGTGAATGCAGATGCTTTTTGGCCTGTGAGATGCATCCACTGTGTTCCCTGCAGTGAACTATATTGGAGCATTTCAGAACAGACCTTAAAAATACCAAGAGTTTGTCTACTCCATGAGAACACGACAGACACTGTGGCATCTTTCATTTTCCCAGGGACAGAACAGTTAAAAATATTCTTCAAACAAGGAGCAGATGTTAATGTCATTAGAATGGATCTTCATAAAAAACAAGAGTTCTGTTCCCCTTGCAAAATGCCAGTAGCTTTGCAAAGTTCTTTACGAGTCTGCCTACTTATTTCAGACTGGTGGCACAGAGGAGAGTGGTGCAGCATGGTCTCTGAAACCAATCAGATATATTTCTGTAAGTTACTTGCCTGCTCATTTTAAGGCTGCCTCAACGTGGACTAAACAAAGAGCTAAAGAAACATGAAGGTGTTTGAATAACAGGAGAACAGTGGGTAACACAGCAAATTCTCTGTTGACGAACAGGTACAGAAAGGATTAGGCTTTCCATGGAAATGCATGGTCTGGATGGTGCATGTGCCCCTGTCAGGTCCTGAATTCACTATTGTCTCAAAAGAAAAAGGATTCACAGGCTATTTTGATCAGCTCACTGAAAATTCTGCCTTGCCTGCAGGAATGGTTAAAGTAAAAATAATAAACAAAATGTTAAGTGGCTCTCTGGATGACCTCTGGACATTCCTATTGTTAATACAAGTAGACATTGGAACCTTTTACTAATAATTTACTTTTGGAAAGCTCTCACATCTCCTTCCTCCTCCTCATTTTGCTCCTTTTAATGTTGAAAAGCTAGGAAAGGCCCCAGGAGTTCCTTTCATTGCTGCAATAGATGGTCCTACACTAGAGCCATTTGACTTGACTTCATTGGCATGAATGACACCTTTCAAGTGCTCTAGTTTAGTGTTTGTTTACTCTAGTTTTTTCTTTTTCTAGTGTCTTCCTTAGGGGTTTTGCTGTCCTAGATCTCTGAAGCATCAGAACATACAAGGAAAGCAGGTTTAGACTCCAGCCCCATCGATTTTCCATGCTTTAGATGCCCATATGAATTTTGAAATTATCTAGAAGGTGATTTGCCTCTTCCTGCTCCATATGTAAGATCTCCACCTCAGGGCCACAATGTACTGAAAGCATCTGTCTCAGTTAAGTTACTGAAGTAAACAACAAACATTTGGCTTCCAAATAATAAGGGGATTATTAAGTGCAAGGATCTATAACTGACTCAGATCATCCTCCCACTTATTTTTAAAGGGGTTGCAAGCATGGCGAAATTTTGTCTGTGTCAGCTTCTTTCATGGGAATCATTTCTGCATTGCTGTAAACTTAGGGAGCTGCTGGATCCGCACCCAACCGAGTGTGAACGCCTGGCATTGCATGGGTTGGCCTCGGCTGAGCCCTCGTTCATGTTGCAAACTTAGTCATCAGATGTCCCCGTAGCTCTTGTTAAAACAGTGATGTGCCTCAGCTGAACAGGCCTTCTGACTTAAATGATGGACACAGCTTAGAGAACAGCTGACAGTGAAGCCTCCTGGGCACTTGTTACAACACGCCCCAGAAAAAGGGGAGGGGGGTAACCCAGGTTCTTATCAATAATTCCCTTGGGGTGGATTAGAGTGAAACAACACTGAATAATTGGCATCTGAAAACTTATATAGGTAGGGTTTATTTTAACAATTTTGTTTTAACAGGTATGTTAGCATTTTGGGTGTTGTCATCTATATTATCTATCACAGGGATAACCCCTGGGGGGAAAATGCATAAGGGGGAGAAAGGGAAGACATGATAAGGGTAAGGGAGAGTAAGAGAAAGAAAAGCTGAGAGTGGAAAGATGTCTATAGTCACTGCCCACGGGGTCCAGTGATGGAACTTGGTAGTTGCAGCTTCCATGTTTGTCAGTTGAAGTGGTGGCCTTGATCTGTTGGGGGTGAAGGAGGGAAGCCCCCACACTCAAAGAAGTTATGAGTTACTATATCCGTGGTTAGTGTCACAGGCCATGCCACGACCCTCCAACATCTCCTGGGTCTGTGCTGAGTTTCCGTGAGGGGTCTGGCAAAAGGGTTTTTCCTGCCTTTCAAGATTGGCAGGGGAGGAGAGGGGGAGATGGGCTTTGATGGGCCATCAGAGGTATAGTGCAAAAGTCCTACAAAAGTATTCAAAAGTCCCTTGGCAATCCTAGAATGCATAAATCATTAACCATTTCAGTCTCTGACAGCACTCACCAGAGCACCCACTGTGCTGCTCCCGTGGGTTAGCCCAGGTCCACTTGGCAGCGTGCTCAGCGCCTGGATGCAGTGGACTAACATCCATGTGTCCAGAGCTGCCTCTTCGATCTTGCAGCTTTGCAAGTGTGACAAATCATGGTTGTAGCAATTCCTGACAGGATAAAAAATTACTTTGTGGGACACCAACTTGGGAAGCATTATGAGCAGTTGTTGACAAGGATGCCTGTCCCATATAACACTACAAACAGCTGGGTAGAGGAGGCTGATACTGTTTGGAAGTGTGGTTTGCTCACCTTATTCATCTTGAGTTTCATTTGCTGGCAAAAATGGCAATGTCTTGAGGATAGACTTGCATGGACAGTATTGCTTATTGGTCAATTAGTAGGCAAATGAAATCTATTCTCAGTAGTGCCGTAGAGGTATGGGCAAGAAGATGCAATTTGTTGTTTGAAGTCTTGAAATAAAAATAGGCTGACCATGTGAATTGTTTCATCTGGAGTGAAGTTCTCCTCCAGACTTTTATAATTCAAAACAGTATTTGGAAGAGCGAAGAAGGAGAAATTGAGATTCTTATGATTGTCCTAATGGGGCTATTTTAAAATGGTTCTGGAGTCTATTACAAGTGAAAGAGGCTTCCCTTCTTCCTAATGACTCAATAAATAGGTCAGATTTGCCATCTAGAGCCATGTGTGACAGTGGGGGCAGATTTTCCAAAAATCTGGAACTGTTCTTTGTAGATGTAAAGTATTATGTTTTAGAAGATAGTCAACTTGTTTTTATTTTAATTCTGAGTGGAAACAGCTTTGTTGGTGAGCACTGCAATAATCTAACTACTCCAGGATATATTGAAAGAGTGTAGAGCTCAATCAACTGGAAAAAAAGTTTCTGAGATGCAGTAATAAATAGAGACCTCTATTTGAAATCTGTAGGGTTGCTTTGGAACCCAGTTCACAGTTTCATAAACATCAACTCTTATGTCTGACATCTGACTAAAATGTATGTTTTAGAAGAACATGATATGATCTCTGTTTAACTAATGCTCTTCCAGAGGGAAAAATTCTGATTCTGCTGCAGTGGTAGGAATGTCTTTTCCAGGAAGAGTAAATGTGACTCCCTTCTCACCAGCATTTTTTAAGACTCTATGTGTTCACACTGCCTTATATGTTCACTTTCCTTTGATGTTAGAGAAAAAACCCTAGAGATGGCCTGCCTAGGGCACCCTCATCTCATTTGCAGATCTCTCTGCAATCACAGAAGTGGAATTCCTGTTTTACTTCCTTTGCAATCAGCACTATTGGCCTTTCCTTCCTCCAGACCAGGATTCCAGTATAGTTTATATGCTAAAAGATGGGAGTTTTAATGTAGTTTAGAACAAAGGACTGGGGCTGTAGAAGGTATACCTGAAGAAATAGCAACTTCTTGGGGTACTGCAGACCTGTTTCTGTGCATGAAAAAACCCCTGAGTTTATACATGCTTGCACAGGAATCATTCAACTATCTATAAAGCACAGAATTGTTACCTTTTCACAAAAATCTATCTTCTTGAGAGAGTTTTTGGAAGGGGAAAAAATGCAGTTATTGACAGTAGGATTTAAGCAGAATGTAAATTAATATCAATGTCCTGAGAAAAGTGCAGCTTTTGAATTCTTATAAGCTCTGAGGAAAAAAAAGTCAAGGTTGATGCTTCCTTGGACATCCAGCGTCCTCCATGGCTTCTTGCAGAGGTTTGCCTGGGTGTTCACTCCAAGGTAACAGTGCCACCTACTGAACCCACACATTCCTTCCCACAGACAGGCGAGCTTGCTTAGAGATTTCCCTTTGGAGCACTAATCCATCCACACCCACTCTTGCAATTTATGAGGTTTAACAAGATCAGAGACTGGGGTGGAATGGCTGCAGGACTGCACAGTAAGTGTTTTCAGTTTGCTCACACTTGTGGGCTTAAAGAGACATGGGAGCCAAGCATGTGAAATCATAGTAACTGATGGTGCCTCCAGTTAACTCACTGTTTGCATTTCTATTTTCTGCTTCATTCACTGGATTAGATGGAAGAACATTGAGGTTAGGTTGGGTTTAACTTCAGCCCTGTTTTTAATCCTTTTGTTAAACACAAAATGGTTTTACCTTGACTGCAGTTGAGCTTGAAGGTACTTCCCACCTCCTTGTATTTGTCCTTGTTTGGCAGTCACCTTCAGTCTTTTGATCTATCTGATCCAGCTGACCTTTCACAGGTTAGATTGGATGCAAAATGCTTAGGCAATGATTTACTATCAAGTTCCCTGGACCATTATTTTATGTCTGGGTACTCTTGGCAGGCTGGAATGTGACTTTCCTAGGAGCAAATACTTTTGAAGGCATCTCTGTGCAGTGCTGAGGCTACTCGGTGCTCAGACAAGCTGGCTAAGCAGAAGCACTTCTTGTAAGAGCTGAACAGGAAACAAGCATTTGTCATTCAACTTGAGCAGCTGAGAAATATGCAGGAATTTCTGTAACTGGGGGGCCCAGGCATAGAAAAGAGGATCTATTAGAGAGAATACAGTAAAAAAAAAAATAAAAATCATATGATCACAGAGCAGAGGAGGGTGAAGGGAGGGGAGGAGGATACAAGATAGATAATGAGCTTGACAATACACAAATACAGAGTGTCATTTACTGGAGCGTCAGGACCGACTGAATGGTTAGCCTGTGGGGTGGAAAGAGCATCCAATGAGTCTCACATGCCTGAAAGGATAATGGCATTTTTATTATCTCATTCCACGCCCTGATCATCCGTCCATTTGCTCGCTGGAGCTGCCAGCAGTTTGCACTGATTCATACGCTGCAGACATGATCAGCAGATCATACTGCAGGCAGAACTCATCAAGCCTTTCCAAGTGAGTCGCCAATTTATTATGATATCTGTATGGGTTTAGTCTTTTGCTGTCGTGTAGGAAGTGCTGGATGGTGACAGTGGGTAAGGGAAACAGAATGGTGGAACAAGTTGGGAAGCTGGTTTAACTGGGGAATAAGCACTGGATGCAGATTGGGTTCCTTTTCTTCTTTTTTTTTTTGTCATATCGTGCTCTATCTTCTAAAGGAAAATTCTTTGTATTTATGCATTTCCCTTCCCTGAATTGCAGAATTTAAATTGCTTTGTTCAGTGGCAGAAGAATATGATGGAAGGACTGGTTGCTGATTGGAGTTCTGTTAGTGGGAAATTTGCAGAAGTTTCACAGTTTGTGTGAAAGCTTTTGCATAACTCGGATTGCTTAATTCACCGAGTAAATAGAGTCCTCGTGGTACATTCATCCCTGAATGTGGGAGGGAAGCCAGAGAAGAAAATCAATTAGCCTGTGTAATATTGTCAACAAAATAATCTGCTTTATTTGTGTCCTGTATTGTTGTTTTGTTTGTCTGCTTTAGGTGTTGAGGGGTGGGAAACCGGACACTACTACGTTTCTAAAATGCAGTGATTTATATCAGGGTTTGGTTTAAAGGTTGGGAGAGGTTTTGAAAAGCAACTGGGCTTTCTGGATGCCTGTTTTTCAGAGTTTCCAGCATGAAACCCTGTGCTCTTAGAGGGAAGGGGAGCTTGGGGATTTCCGAAACTTAGCCCTTCCAAGAAGAATCTGAAATTCTTCATTGTGATTTCAGAAATTGGACAATAAATAATAATTTAATTAAGAGTGTGCCAAGTGGATTTTGTGTGTACGTGTGTGTGTGTGTGTGTGTTGTTCTGTGGCGAAATACAGCCACAAACCACAACAGCCCTCCTCTATTGCTGTACCGGAATGAGGAGCAGCCGTGGCAAAGCACCAATTTCTCTGCAACCAGTGCAAGGGGAAAGCAAGGGAGGGGGAGGGAAAGGGTGAACTAGGTGAGATTTGGACACTGTAGTGATGATATAAGTGGTGAAAACCATGGCTCTTGATAACTCCTTGGGGAGTTATAGGAAGTGAGTTCACCACAATCAGTAAAATTATGTGTGAGTGAAAACAATCCTATTCTCTTGAAATATAGTTAGCTACTATACTGTTGGTTTCCTGTATCTTGGGAGATTTGGGCGCTATTGCAAATTCTAGCAAGAGCAGACACACCTCGACAACCAGACATGGGTTTTCTTCTGTCAAGACTCACGGTAGCATGCTTGGAGAAGAAAAGCAAAGCTCTCTTTGGTGGGGAATCTGAAGAGAAATCAAATGGGTGGCCGAAACTTGGTAACCGATTTGTTCTCTTTCAACAAGGATCTCCATGATCTCAGGCCAAAAGAGGGAAGGCACCTTTAGCATTACCCACAAAGGCTTCTTCAAAGCATTGCTCAGAGAAATACATGATGAAATACTGCCCTTCCCAGGCTGAGGCATAACGTAATCATTCCAAGTGCTCCTGTCTTCTCAGGAGATTGCAGTGGAAAAGAAGAGGAGTATTAATATCCTTATAAGTTAACTCTCTGGAGACTCTCCAGGGAAAAAAGAGGAGGCTGCAATTGCATTATTTTGAATGAGGTACAGTGTGATTGTTAACTTCTTGCAAATGTCCTCTAATGACCCCTTTCCCTCAGATCATTTGATCTGCATCGTTTAACGATATTTTCTACGTTTTCAGTGTACTTGTAGTATTTGTAGAGAATTTTGTAATTGCTAAATAGCTGAATATAATCCTTTTAGAATTTGATACACTAGAAATTAAAGGCAGAAGTTCTCGTCATAGCCAAGAAATCATTCCGGTTGGCCTGAAAACATAAAATCTGTTTAATAGATGCATAGGGATTGACTTGGATTGGTTTGCTGGGCAATAAAGTGTTTACTGTGCAAGTTCCTAGGGAAAGCAGAAGTCATCTTTGCCAGCAGGTAGAATGTTTTCTTCCAGCAAATTATAACTTCTGTTTAAACTTCACAGTTTGATTGTTGGAAGCTCGCTTTTTCACAATATTTTCTTCATATTGTAGGTTACATTTTCTGTTTCTTGGCCAGATTTTTGAGACTGATAATCAGCTAGCTTTTTGAAGGGAAGAGAGGGGTTAAGGAGGACACTTCCCCACAGGCAGCAGTAGTGTTAGTGGCACTGTGTTACCTGGTTAATTCTGCTCCAAAAATCGAGGCCATTAATTTTCCCTTGAAGCCATCACTTTCCTTCTTTCTGGTCTTCTCTGTTGACCGTGTCCTTCATTTCTGTTCCGCAGTGGCCGATGGCTCGAATCCTTAATTTCTGAAAGCCTTTTTACATTACTGAGGTAAAATAAGAAGGACATAATATAACCGAAGACCAGATCCTCAAAGGTGTTATCCTGTAGTGAGGCTGATTGTCTCTGTTTTAAAAGCTAAGAATCCCAGTCACGCTCTGGAAATGACTCTTCCTCAACAGTGGCAGGTCTACCATGGTCCAAGAAATAGGCACTTTTTTACAATGTCCTGTCTGTTTGTGAGCTGCAATGTTTATATCCAACAGTTGGAATGGTCATTTTGATGCAAATGTGTTTATGGGTGTGTGGACCCACGGATTTATGTTGAACACTGTAGTAACAATGCTCCATCTATATGAGCATTCTTGATGTATTAGTTGTTGCCACCTGAATGAAATACATGTTGCTGGATTTAGGAACTTTCCTCATAATGGGTCAGAAGAAATTTACTGGAAGAAATGGAACATTTTTGAGTGGGACTGTATTTGGTGGAGGAAACATTAGACAGAGACAGACAAGATGTTTCTCAGGAAACATCTGAGATTTTGCAGCCTTCTTGCCTCAGTGAAAGACGCTTTTCTTTTTTCAGCACAACCAAAACACTGGGTCAGGAGCATAAAGCTGGAGTAATCTGTGTGGAGTTTTGGGCGTCCACCTAAGTCATGACTTTGAGAATCAAATGTCTGAGGTTTTGTCAGAGAACAAGTGACTCTGGGGAGTTTCATGAAAACTCCGAGCTGAATTTTCCACCCTGTTTAAGCCAGGAACTTGAAGCTCTGTAGATCCCAATGCCTGAAATGAACTGTGAGAATTGTTTCTGATGAATGGTAAATTTAGTAAAACCAAGAAAATTTAGGGGAGTTTTGGGCAGAACTGTTTCAGAGCAGTTCAGAGCAGAACTGGTAGCTTTGTCTAAATAATAGGAAATACTTTTGTTAATTAATTTTTTTTACACTTTCTAAACAAGAAATTACTGAGCTGCACCATTGAAATATTTTTTAAATAAAATATTCTAATCTTTTGTAGAATATTTTGATTGAAATTGACCTACATTTTAAAGAAAAAATTTAAAAGAAAAAAACCTTAAATGAAGGATTTGCTTTCTTGTTTCAGGCAGAATTAAAATAAAACAACCCTGAACATTTTCCATAGCACTTCACTCTGACAAGAGTTTTTGCTTCTGCTTCAACAAAACTAGAGAATTTGTTGTTAGAGCATATCTTAAATCCAGATAGCTCCTCCACAGCCTCACTGTTGGCATAGGTGTTCAACTAGTGTCAGATAGGGGTGATAGAACTTCATCCTGCTTCTTCATATCCCCGTCTTTCCCTCTCTTTTCTAACCTCCACCCTGTTCCCAATTCCAAGTAAAACAAGAAAAGTCAAAAAAAAATAAGGGAAATTCTCAAATGCAGTCTTGGTTTTTCTGTCCATACATAAAGCAGATGCACTAAACTAGATAATCAAATGTTTAAAAATTCAACCAAGAAAAACACTTCCCTCAGTTGTTGAAATAATTGAAATATGGAGACTTTACTCACTGTAAATTTTCTTTCCTTCCATATTTTATTTTATAAAAGAAAACATTAAAAAAACTAAGCTTGCTTTGCACTATTTTCATGTACTGACATTTGATTTATATTTTGAGATGTGTAAGCTCTTAAGTGTAGCAAGAGAACTTCAGCAAACTGAAGTCTCCTTGACTTCAGTAAGGCAGTTTACATTTATAAGTAGCTGCCAAGTTTATAATTATATATCTCTGTAATGTTGGCCTTCGTACATTTATCCATTCCAATTTTAATTCTCCGTTTCATAAAATCTATGATCAAATTTTGGAGCCCAAACTAAGCTGATGTCGTCCCTTTTAATTTGAGACTCAGCCCTTTTATTCTCCTTCTCTGCTTTGCTTTTATTAGTTGCTTTCTTTTTGTGCTGATGTGCAGCACATATTGTTAAAGCCACTTATTAGAGCCAGAATTTTACAGCATGGAAACTGTCCTAATAAGGGGAAAAAAAAATAGCTGTTTATTGGTGAGGTAAGAGAAGTCAGGCAGTGGATAATTTTTCTGCTGATTGAGAAGGATAAGGTGTGGTTTGGCAGACATCACATTGGTTTGGCATTTGATGACATGTTTCCTCTTTTCTGCAGTTCAAATCCTTTGCAGAGTTGTCAGTCAGGGAAGGCTTCCCCCATGCTCCCCTTTGCCTTTCCCTGCCCTCTTCCTTTGCTTCTTCACAAGTGTTCAGCATTGCTGTGAAATCTCACTCTGACTCTCAAAACTGGATGTGGTAATGAGACATTTTTGCAAGTTTAACAGTGCCATACTGTAGCTACCTTTTTGGGGAACAGCAAGAACATTGGAATACAGTTTTCCATGTGCATTGTTCTACGTGTAAAGTGTCAGAAAAGTTGCACTTTAGTCCAAGGCATTGCAATGCAACTTGTCTTTTCTCAAAAACCCATTATCAAAGCTAAATTCTATCAACGAGGTTTAGTTGATGCTTTAAATCTGGGTGTTTGGGTTTTTTTTTTTAATCTGCTTTTGTTTCCAATTGCTTTGAATGCACATATTGAATTCCAGAGATGAGCAGCACATCCCAGGCTTAAGTACAGGCTTCAGATCCGAAGTCAATGTAGTTCTATGGCTTTTAAAATGAGTTATGATGAGCAAAGTTCCAAGTGAGGGCAGAAGCTGGTATTTCAGTTTTTTCA